GCGCTGTTGTGCAGCATCTGCATGGGAATCTCGCTTGATCCCACTCGACCTCGACCATCAGCTGCCGTACAGTCGAAACCACATACACACAATCGCAGCACATCAATTACTCCCGACCATTTGCTGCCTTTGTGTCGAAATTAGGATATGCTTCCAAACTCGCTCGAACGACGTCTGTTACCGTAATCAGGGGAAAACAAATCGGCGATAAATCGACGTCCGAGTCACACGACATAGTTCTACTGTGTTTGATCAGACGTTAATTTATTCATGATATTCCTATGAGCTTCGGGCATACTAGTTGGGTCAGCCACTGCTGGGACGTGGGACAACACGGTTCGGGAGAAAATAACACATTAGCAGGAGATAGGATAAAGGCGGTAGAAGGAGGGACGACAAGGTGATGTGGCCTGAAAGGATGCGCTCAGTGTCCTGCTGCGCCGTATCGCAACATTAGTCTTTTGTGCTCAAACCGCGCCTTGAAGACACTATTTCAGCATCCCTTCCATCACAAACTACCAGCCCTTCCGTGGCAAAGGTCTGACAGAGAAATTCTTTTCGCAGAGCTTCTTTCTGCGGAAAAGTGATGTGTAAAAAGGAAGATGTAGAATCTCCATATTTGAAAGGAAAATGACAAAAAACTCAGAACTTATAAATGGACGCCATAGAAAGTGACTAGCTCTTATCAATGTTTTGCCAAACTCGGATTCGATGCCTCTTCTGCCTAATGATAGATAAACAGAGATACGGGAAGCACTTACAAAAGGTATTAAAATGCTCAAAATCTAGCATTTCCCAGGTAGATGACATTCTGCAGTTATGCGATGCTAAAAAGGAAGAATGCCTGGGCGATTTAAAATTCTTTCTAAATTCAAGTCCGCAAGGAGCACGCATTTCAAAAGCTTATCTTCCAAACCACAATTTTTTTCGGCACAGAAACATAAAGCATAGTGGCGACAACTAGTCAAATATCCTCTTCATTAGAGCCATTGCTGCTTCTCATTCAGCATTTACACTTCCCTTAATCTCTTCCACTAAATGGAAGCCTGTACGATGCTACCACAACCACAAATGAAAACAATCCTTTGTCCTTCCTATATCTTCAGAACCTACAAATAATGCATCTCACTCCGATCTTCCCATTTTGAATCTCAATAATGTTCTCGCGACATATCCAACGAGAACGTTCTCATACGTGCTACGCCGAAAGATTACGGTAAGTGCCGGTGAACCGTCGGCAGCAAAAAGGCACGCCGCAACAGATTATAAGCGCACAGAGCACGTAATACCCACTTCACCCAGCCGCCACCTTTCACACCTACTGAAGTCAGTTTTGTTAGAGGTATGGGAACTAACGATGGTCAGAGCAGACGTCACAAAAATTTATAGTAACGGCAATTTCAAAATGATACAATGATGGGAGAAAACGCTCTGATCACACTTCCACAGCCTGATTGTATTGCACTGGCTCAGCTCCGACGGTCGCTTGACTTCTGAGCTCAAGCTGCTCCAGCTTCCAATGTTGGTCTGAAGTGGATGAAATTAGATTTAAAAATGAATGAAGTTTTAAGTTCACCTTTGAGCTTTCCATGTGCTTCTTGTAATTCACGTTCTCTTGCTTCCTGTTGTCGTACTTCTTCTTGTAAACGAGAAACTCTTTTGTTGATTGATTTTGCTTCATGCTCCGAAAGTCGCCTTAGCCAGATAGTATAAGCAGAAAAATAACCCGAAATCCTCTGCATCTTTTATTCACTCACCTGAACGTCTCCTTTTCTATCTCAGCCATCTCCAACTCCGTTCTCACTTCAGCTAACTTCGATGCCAAATTGGTGTGAATAGCCTGAGATACAAAAGCTGAGCAAACCTATGTAAGGACCACCAAGGTTTTTTTTT